CATGACAATGGGGAAGATGGTGCAGGATGGGGCAGTGTTTCATTCTGTCATATGTAGAGTCACCATGAGTCAATACCAACTCTGTGGAATCTAACAGTGACAGCAACACCCCTTTGAAGTCCCCGAAAGCAGCTATCAATACCCTTTGAGCTAACTTCTCTGCTTTGAACTTAACTCACCCAGGGAATCCCCAGTGAAGCCAACGTTTGTATTAGACTTACCTTTCTGGATTGTATGGGTAAATCCAAATACTCATCTCTAGTTTCAATTCATTCCATAAAATAATCTTCATTAACTTCGATCTTGCTTAATGACCGATGTAAAAATTATCTCTTCCAGCTAGCTGAGCTTTTAGTAATGTTTTTGGGACTCATCATTTATTCACTTTGAAGGCACTTTAACAAGACAAATGTATTACTGAGAAAAGCTGTCTCTGGTCATCTACTGATCTCAGAGATACGTTCAAATATACCTGGTTTGGAATAAGACTGTGCATGTATGAATAGAACCCTAGCAGCAATACTTTTCAGTTTGCTTTTATATGGCTATATTTAAATGCATATTGCTCTTCTTCCTTTCTGTTGTTTGGATTGTTTTCACTTTTGTTGTATCTATAGTGTGTAGCTGTCAGAGAGGAAGCCAAACAATTATGCCATAGCTAAAAAACACCCAGTAAAATGTGCCCATTCTTAATTATCTATCACTGCATTTCTTAGACTATCTTTGTTAAACTTGCAATAACAAAATAAGAAAAGGGTAGCACAAACTATTTTTCCCATTTTACAGATGAGAAAACCAGATAAGCTAAGTGTCACCTGATGTTAAAAAAGGATTGGAACCAGGCTTAAGATTCAGGTTTTCTGATTCAAGTCATGGTATTCAATGTGTGAAGTAAGGAAAACTAGAGTTCAGAATACAGTATTTTCTTTATGACTATATTGTCTTCTTTGGATCATGTCTATAATAATCATTCACCTCTGATGGGACACCAACCCTAGTTACACTTTCCTATACATTTTAATATTCTGGATTTCAAGCATGCTTTCAAACGTTACTCTTCATACTGAGTCAATTGGTTGAACATGATCATTCTAAGAAACCTTCATTAAAGTTTCAAGTTCTCTTGGGCAATAAGGTCATAATTCTACTCATTGCTTCTCTCAATACTTCTTTTACCTTTTCATTCCTCAAGCTATAAATGAAAGGATTCAGAAGAGGGGTCACCATTGTGGTAAGGACAGCAGCTACCTTGTCAAAGTTTAGCGAATGGCTCTGAGTGGGCCTCACATACATGAAGATATTGCTTCCATAGGAAATGGAAACCACAGTGATGTGCGAAGCACAGGTAGAAAAAGCCTTTTGACGTCCTTGGGCTGAGGGGATGCGCAATATGGTCGAGATAATGTAGGTGTAAGACACAATGGTGAACACTAGAGAGGTCAGGAGGATAAGGGAAGATAAAAGGAAGTTTATCATCTCAAGGAAATGAGTATCAATACAGGCCACCTGCAGCAGAGGAGCGATATCACAAAAGAAGTGACTGATTTCTTTGTAGCAGAAAGGTAATCTGGACACCACAATAGTTGGGCACAGCACTGACAGGAAGGCACCCACCCAGCAGCCCAGGACCAGCTGGAGGCAGACTCTACCGTTCATGATGCTGCTGTAGCGCAGGGGGTTACAGATGGCCACATAGCGATCGAAGGACATGACAGCCAAGAGGATGAACTCCACTGTTCCCAGGAAGAAAAAGAAGTAGGTTTGGGTGATGCAGCCAGCTAAGGATATGGTCTTCCTCTCTTCTAGGAGACAGGCTAACAGCTTTGGAGTCACGGAAGTGGTATATAATATGTCCAAAACTGACAGATTACTGAGGAAGAAGTACATCGGGGTTTGGAAACGATTGTCCGTCCATATGAGGGAAATGATCACAGTATTTCCTGACAGAGTAAGCATGTAAGTAAATAGCAGCACCACAAATAGGAAACTTTGAAGCTTCTGGAGAACAGGGAAGGCGGTCAGGACAAATTCCGTGACTGTGGTCTGATTTTGAAAGTCCATTGCATGCATTGATTAATGGGCAGCATGTAGCTGAAAAGAAGTATAAAATATAGAGAGATAAAAATTAACTTGTTTTAAATTGTCAGTACTTATGATAAAGGTAAAGTAGGGAAAAATCTGCATAGGAGCCAAGAATAATTCATTCTAGTTCTATCTGTAATCAAAATAAATATTAGATGTTATATAATTTCTTCAAATCTCAGTATCCTCATATTTAAATTTTTGCTTGAATGAAATGATCTCAATGGTTCCAATCAATTTTTAAAATGGTGTTATTCTCTTTTACTTAATGCTCCTGCCCTGCTCTACCATTTTATCAGCTACATGCTTTGTTTAAGAAGAAAGGCATCATTAACTGGTAATCTAGTATTTGCATCTGGAAAACAGAGAAAGAGAATATTTATAAAAGTTCAGTTATTTCTTTTAAAGTTATTTTAGCTTCTAGGGTCACTTCCAAATCAAAGCACAGAAAGTATGAGTATCAGCCAGGACTCTTTTGTCTTTCTCTACTTCTGTGATCTAAACTAAGTGCTGAGGATCAGTGTAAAATCCAGTTGGGTAAGGATTTTTAATATAATCATAATTGATCTTTTCATTATGTCACATAGTTTCTATTTCCCATAATGATATGAACTTTCTGATGTCTACACGGTTATAGAACAGTACATCAATAACTGGTTTTATGTATTTGTGAAAAAGTATCTTTTAGAAGAATGGTCAGTGTGTTTCTTCTTTGGTCCTCACAAATGGTGTGTCTATGACAATACCAGGAGCACAGGTAACCCAACGGATTGTTCCAGGTTTTCTCCGTGAGTTATTTTCACTTACTTTTAATCCTAGGTGTTTTATTTCTACATCTATAGTAGATGGGTATTGATCCTGTCCATGTTTCTTGCAATTTAAAATATTTTTGTTTTTGTTTACCATAAGGATAGCCACCTTGTCTGTTTATCTCCGAATATGTATAATACGCAAACAGGTTTGAATTTAGAGACTTTCTCCTTTAAGCATGGGTTTGTAGAAACTCCAAGATCAGCCAATGGTAAACTCTGTAGCTTGCCTTTTCATATATCAAATACAGATATCTATCATAACTTGTACTTAGGTTTATTGTAAAGCCTTTCACCTTTTCTTTATTA